CCTCACAGACATTTTTTCTTCATATATCGATTGAAAGAAGATCTTTTTTTCTCGGCCAATCGATCGTCTGCTAACATTAGTACAGTTCCATTGTTTTAACGTTCATGTTTTCTTTTTGTTCTACTTTTTAACTTTTTTTTTTTCAGCAGACGACACAAGAATGACAGAAAACAGCTTAGGGCAATAGTGAAACAACAACTACAATCACAACAACAAAAAAAAAACAATGCAGTCACAACAACGCGACGTCCAAATCCCAGAGTTCACCTCTGATTGAACTAAGTCGGCCATTTTCAATTTGTCGTAACATCATTGTCGACCAATGGCTTTCAAATTCTAGAGTTACTTTTAGTGGAAGGTGACTTGAGTCAACCGCGTGACAAGAATTACTTGAAGTTTCATTATAAACGATAAGCAAGGAATGTTTATTTATTTTATTTTTGGTCATTTGATTTTTCTTTGCGTTCAATAGGCGTATATCTGGATTGAATGAATGTAAATAGTGATAAAAAGTTTGTGATTTCAAACAGTCTCTCTTAAATTAGCTACGACTGTTTAATTCCTTGTTTATCAGCATTATCGCCAGCAAAAGAAGCAATTTAAGGTTTGAGTTGCGTATTGGTAATGTCAAAATCAAAGCAGATACAGAATTTTAACTTTTTAAAGACGAAAGAAATGTGAGACAAAACCGAGCGTTCAGAGAAATAGAGGAAGATGCCTTCCAGGAACTAAACAAAATGTTAAGACGTGAGAAAATATCGGCAAACATGGACATTCGTGCCCGTAAAAAACAAAAAACAAAAAAACAAAAAAATAACGTAGTGTTAAAAGGACGGTTTTTCCTTGACTCCGCTATTATTTTAACTACCTACACTCCGCGGTGATGTTTTAAAAAGCGATAATTAAAATTTTAATAAAAACTAAACTTATGAAAATGAATTTATAAATTTTCGTTATTCTTGAGAATTGACAACAAAAATAATAACCACTTTCTTTATTAAATTGTTTATTTCTTTATCGTATTCTTTATTAGAATGGTTAACAGAATATAGGCTAATTTCCAATGGATTCATACTTTATAAAATGGTAAATAGGATTTACTTATAGTTTGTTCACATATTTGCTTAGTAAATGTTTATAAGTTTATGAATAAAAACATGTCTTCATATTTATTTCTTTATAAATTAGTAAATGATAAATATTGCATTGTATTTAGTCTTAATACAATTGTCTTATTATTATTTTTTTAATGTTGTAAATATAAAATTATTCTTGTAAATAAACAATCTAATAAATAGTGTTTAATATTTTTGTTGTAAATTTTCAAGTACAACAAAAAAGTATAAATTCACTTTCATCATATGTTTAGGTTTTATTGCAATTCTAATTATCGCATTTTAAATCGAACATTGACGAAGAGTGAAGGTGGTTAAAATAATAGCGGCATCATGGGCTGGGAAGACCGCCTTTTTGAGACATGTCTTTTTACGGGAACGAATATTTATGTTTGCCGAAATATCGTTAGAAACAAAGAAAATAGTGCTTATATATATCTATATCTATAAATATATATATATATATATATATATATATATATATATATATATATATATATATATATATAAAAAGAAAGAACAGTAAGATATATAATCCGGTGTTCTTATAGATATTTTTTATTTTTTACAAAATAGTGCTCAATGTAAATTTACAGAGCATTAATATTATAAATTAATTGATTTTACTCCAAAATTCGCATGAGGATGAAATGGAACTAATGTCTTTAATTTAATTACAAAATTAAATCCGGGGCTTTTAGCTTCCATTTTTGAAACATGGTTAGAACTGTGTAGGGAAAAACATATTTTAAATCAATTAATTTATAATATATATATATATATATATATATATATATATATATATATTTTTATACATACGTATACGCTCGCGCAGATACAGACCCCCCATATATATATATATATATATATATATATATATATATATATGAAAGTGAACATTGAAGTCAACACTCAGAGGCGACAGACTGTTTCATGCGAAACGCAATCATCAAGCTACATTTATATATACGGGTAAGTGGTGCATTGTGGGTAGTCTTTTGCATTATGGGTAGTCTATTTTAACGGTTATTTTTGCGGGAGTGGTTTGTTAATTTGTTTATTATTTACTTTATTTATTTGGATTAATTTATTTTCCTAGTTTTTGCTTATTTATTTTTATTTTATTTATTCTTTTCAGTTTTCGATTTTTAAGTAACGTAGTAAAAATTTGTTTTCCTGTCGGCATTTTGAGATGAGTTCTGATCGTTTATTTAGTAGTTTGTTTTGATCTGGAAAGGTAGTTAGAGCTATTTTTTTTCCCTCCAAACAGAGTTTGCAGTTTTTGGATTGATTGTTGTAGGCTGATGTTCTTTTCCTTATTTTCCATAATATTTTTGGTGTGATTTGGTTTTTGTTTTTAATTTTCCAGATATACTTGGAAAGCATTGTGTTGTTCGCGTATTTACTACACACACACACACACACACACACACACACACACACACACACACACATATATATATATATATATATATATATATATATATATATATATATATATATATAAAAATATAATTTTAAGGTATGCAATATTTATGGTTAAAAGTACTCCAAATATCAGGCGACATTCTTTTTCATTCTGGAATCCAATTTTCAGTCCTTCTTTATTTTGCTTTTGGGAAAAGGTCGATCGTTTGATTGATTTTTTTTTAACGATTTATCAACCATAACATATTAAAAATTTCTAACTCGATCAGTCTGTACTACTTCACTTGCCATTTTATCTGACTTTGCACCAAGCGATTCTTTAATTTTTCAATCGGAGGAAATAAAGAATAACAGGTTCAACAGTTGATGAAACGTTTCCTTATCAAAACCTGTGGATATATTACTGAAGAGCTACCTGGTAACGTCTAGGTCTACCATTCACCAATGCTTAGAATATTACTGCCACATATAGTCAGGTGTTCATGCTACTTAGAGAATGAGCAATATTGTTGGTCCTGACTTAGCATCTCGGATTCAGTGACGTTCTCACCGCCGTAATGTTGCTAGCCTGTGAACTTTTCTAAAAAATACTTTCATGGTAAATGTTCGTTATGGTACCTAGATTTTATGAAATTGAGCGCAGCGCTAGTTTGGCAATAAGATCCCGTCCGTTTACAGTTGAATTAGCTAGATGTAACCGTAGGTTCTATGATAACAGTTTCTTCTCTAGCACTACTCGCTTGGGGAACGATCTTCCGGCTCCATGCTTCCCGGCCAACTTTGATCTTCAAAAATTCAAATGCAATGTCAATCTACTGTCTTTCTGATACTCTTTTACTGTTCTCGCTCCTTCTTAATGTTTTCTATTTTCTAATTCTTTCAGACCCAGTAGCCACCTGTATTTAATTGGCTTTAGTGCCGTGCTGGCGAAAATTCGATTAAAAAAGACAAGAGAGAGAGAGAGAGAGAGAGAGAGAGAGAGAGAGAGAGAGAGAGAGAGAGAGAGACAACAAAAAAAATGATGAGACCTAACTCCCAATCAAGTATTGTGCTTAAATTCGTGAAGTTAAGGTATCAATGTAGAAAGCTCATCATATTATATAAATATCTCTTCAGAACAATTATCATGAAAATATTCATAGAAAAGACAATTAAGAAAAGAGTAATTACAATACAGCGTTGAGAAAGTGACTGCAGTTAAGTGCCAGGTCAGGACCAGCACTGTTGTAGTATCTTGTCAAGATTTTGTCAAGAATCTCTAGATATGTATCATAAGCACCAGACCATCTTTGGAAACAATGGAAATAATTGTGAATACATAATTGAAAAAAAAAAAGTAATTGTCATTTACTTTTTTGAAAATTAAAATTGATAAACAAAAACGGAAATTATTTATGAATCAATTCATATCTATCTATCTATGCACGTTTATTATCTATCTATCTATCTATCTATCTATCTATGTAAACTATTTCATTATCTATCTATCCACTTTCATTATCTATCTATCTATCTATCTATCTATCTATCTATCTATGCACTTTTAATAATCGATACACACAATTCTCTGATATTGCATGACGTCATACTGAATCTATCTATCTATCTATCTATCTATCTATCTATCTATCTATCTATGTACTTTCAACATCTATCTATCTATCTATCTATCTATCTATCTATGTGTATCTTTGTTTCTTTAGGCTTACGGGCATATCACGTTGCGTTGTTTAGTGCTTAGTCTGGTGACCGCTTTGGAATACCACGTGGTGTAAGATTGGATATGCGGTCGTTGCAATAAATAACTGACTGGTATTGTAAACTGGAGAGCCGTTCTAATTCCAGTCGGGTTCATTATATTCATTTACGCGCAAATACCATTGGTAAAGGGACTGATCCATCCCTTCTTCCCCCAACTATGTGTTAATTAGTAAAGATTGTCTCAGTCAGTCATTAATATCTCAAAAAAAAAAAAAAGATCTTACAAACTAAAGATGTTTTCTGGCTTTAAACAACATGTAAAAGTTGATAATGCGTAAAATAATCAGTGTAACAATCTTCGTCTTTTATTCGTAGAAATCTTGAGAAGGTCATTGGGTGAAAAGCCCGAATTTTTTAATTTTTTTTTAATGTGAAATTCGTTATCACGTGCTGTAGGAAGAAAATGATTTCATAGCAAAGAAAAGGTCATTTGATCTCATCCTAATGTTCGTAGACATATCCGATGTGACTGCTTTGCAAATTCGACTTAGTGACGAAGAAGTGAAGAGGAAACTGACATATCAAAGGGTGCTATTCTGCACACCATTACGCTGAAATCGGGCGGTTTTCTTGGTGAAATAATAAAGCTTTCGAATACTTCTGCCCTGACGCTTCGTAAACAACGACAAAGAAGATAAAATGGACGAGAAGTGCTGAAAGCTTCTCGGTCCAACCAAGATCTTATAATCTTAACAAATGGATAAACATTGGAAAGTAATTTTGGAATGTTTATCTATCTATCTATCTATCTATCTATCTATCTATCTATCTATCTATCTATCTAACACACAAACAAGAGAAT